CATAACGTCGTTTGTATAAATATGCGAATAAATATACATAAATTATTCGGAGGCATTTGGAATAACATTTTCCCGCCAAACTGTACTGTTCTTTTTTTATATTACTTTGAATGCAATTTTTTTTTAAAACTTATTAAAGAATCTTCATGCAGGCCAACGTCCTTTACTGGCCAGAAATAAACCGGTACGTTGTTTGCTTTTAAGTTACTTGTTGTATCATAGCAGTTTTATTTTTATTGAGTTGTGTACATGCGATTTTGTCAGAGTTGCCTTTTGGAATAAACTTTTATCTTTATTTTGTATTGCGTGGTGATGAAAAAAGAAACAAAATTGGTAGGCTGGGCTTACTGTTTATAACCCATAAAATTTTATGTCAATTAATTACAAAACATATACAGTAAAGTAAATACGGTTACCATTGAGTTATATGTACTACGTACTAGAGAAGCCATTCCGAACATTGACTATGTTCAACTGAACTGTAGTGCAATCTATACAAACTAAATATTGCGTAAATTGAAGATTTGTGAATTCCATAAGATAATTATTATTACATTTTCTTTAGAAATATGTTTGTTTAGATTAAATTAGAGATATTTTATATTAAATTCTTATATTTATTTTATATTAATATCTTATTTTATATCAAATTAGAGTCTTCGCGCATGCGCGACTACTACTCCCGCGCATGCGCGAAGAAATAGAGTAGGACACAATTTTTGTTTGGAATGGCTTCTCTAGTACGTAGTACATATAACTCAATGACGGTTACAAAAATTTTTATGTCTCGCTTTTGGACACAGATCTCCTCTCATTACTTGGAAATGGGAAAACTTATACAAAAAGCTACATATTTTCATACTAGGTTTGGTTTAGTTAACGATTAGACACAGAAAGATCTATAATGTATATTTTTCTTACTAAACATTATTATAAGAAAAATATGAAAATATTCAAAACCGTTTTATTTTAACTTATTATTAATACTCGAACTCACAGAGTAAACACCGATTTCAATTCTATTCGAAATAAGCTAATTTATATTTTAAAAGAACAATATGCTATTGACCTATAGGTACATAATATACTTGGAATGTGAAATTTGAATTAATTTGCAACAATTAAATATAATTAATTTGTCCATTTAATCTCACTTAAAATGGGCAATAGCCAGCTTAATAGACTATAGGGTAATAATAAGGTCATCCAGATCGAATTTCGGTCACAGTGGCCATCCTCAATGGAGTCCAGCCATCTCTGCAGGACAGGTTTACAGTGTCCGAGTGTATGCGCAGACCGACAGCAATCCAACACAACCGGCGAGAAACCAGGCGCAGTACCAACGGTTTTACGTGTTTTAAAACACCGCCATCTCTCTGACTCCGGGCTGCTAATGAAAATTTCTGTACCGTAAAATCCAATGACTGGTTTTTGGCCCAATCCGTGATTTGATCACCAAGGACCACATGATTAACAGTATCGTTTACGAGCGTTAGACCAAAGAGGTTATTCGAGGTCATTCCAATAATTACACTGATGACATATGATCTGAGACGTGGTTCTTCACTGCTGGCCGTATGAGGAAGCTTAAGGTCGTTCAGAGGGCTATGCTCGGATTTTCTCTGTTCAGAACCAGTGTAACTGATATATTCCATTGGATCAGTTAGCTGAAGTTACAATGGCCGTATAGCTCATCGAACCCAGGACCACTTGATACTACACTACACTAGCAGTCGCATTTACGACTGTTAGATCAAGGAGGCAGTCGAAATCTATAGGGTATAGGGTTAATTGTCTACAACTAATTTTGTGATTTCAGTATAGTGATCTTAATGTATGATGACGATGAGATTTATGTGATCGGTAATCCAATAGCAGAATGTTATCTCTACATTAATTATATTTCAGGACTTTACTAAGGTTTGCGATTTGCTGTCACAATTATAATTAGTATTCTACTCAAAACCCTTTATACGTCTTTTTCCGTCTTCATCATCAGCTTGTGACAACCACTGCTAAACATTTTTTTTATAGGATAGGGTGACAAACGAACACACTGTCCACCTAATGGTAAGTGGTTGCTATGACCCATAGACATCTACATCTATCCTCAATAAAGAATCAAAATGCAGATGCGTTGTCATCCATGAGGACTAAGATGGAATGCCTCTTTTCCACTAAAAAGGGTCTCCGGCTCAAACATAGCAGTGTTAAACTGCTATTTGACGCTGGTATTCTGTGAGAGCGTGGTTCTTCGCCGGTCTAGCCGACCCATTCGTGCCACAACTGTACTACTAATATAGCTGCAGCATGGCTCTAACGCGTATATAACATGAGCTTCTCTTTTGTATTGATCAGAAGTCTCGCGTCTTTTGCGCTAATGCCTGTACCAGTCTGTATATGACGTCTGGCGTAAAAGATATGGTTGTACCTGCTGTCATCTATCTGAAGTCATCACGTTTTATATGGCATTTCCTATAGTTGTCCCTTACGACACCCACAGTACAGGGATAGTAGATTCTCTTATGTCGCAACATGGATATGGTTCGATATAATAGTATTAACAGTATTATCACCTTGTGATGGTGCAAGAGCACCTTGCACTGTCATCACAAGACAAGGCACAATAGAAAAGAAAATTGACAAAGGGAAACATCTCTTATCGTTCCTATAGACCCACTGTCTACTTACTAATAATCTCTTATTCCAAAATAGATGAAAGTGTCTTTTGGCGACAATATCCTTTTACCATTAGGTGGATTGTGTGCTCGTATGTCAACCTTCTTTTATAAAAAAAACAGAGAGTTTCACATGATTTATAGTCGACTTCATTCATTTTTATAGCTTCAATTGATTGTTCGTTTGTATCCCTTACTTACGTGCCAGTTACGTACAAAATCGGCTGGGAGGTTGGTCCTTGGCCAAGCCGTCTCGACTGGACGCGCATCGCCGGCTACGCATAGTCTGGGGGAACCTTAACTGTTCGTATTCATGTCCAAGTACAATTAAGGCTACTTATCTACAACGATTACTTCACAGATTAGGTTGTTTTTACCATGGAGACTTCCTCTTATTGTGGTAATCGGTTTCTTTACTCATGTGGTATTAGTGTCGTTTGTCCCTCACTTCTCCACGCCCGAACTACTCGTACACTTGCTCAATTCGTACAAACATGACACAGTATGTACTTGAGCCATTTTATTATTGTTATGTTGTTCACCATCACATACCATCAACATAACCTCTCAGTAATAGAAAGTCGTATGTAGGTATATAGCCGTGTAGTGGCGGTGGTAAAATATTCCGTTTTTATACCTATTAGAGCCATAATGCAGTTACGAATATATTAATACTATAGCTGTAGCACAAATGGGTCGGTTCGACCGGGGAAGGACCACGCTCTCACAGAATATCTACCAACGTAAAATAGCAGCTTAATGCTGCTGTGTTTCGTATGGTGACTGTAGAGAACCGGAGACCCTTTTTACTGGCAAAGAGGCATTCCATCTAAGTCCTCACGGTTAACAATGCATCTGCATTTTGATTCGTAATCGAGGATAGATTTAGAAGTCTATATGGGCCACAGGAACTTGCCATCAGATGGTCTGTGTGCTCGCTTGTCACCCTTATCCTTTAAAAAATATTTACTACTTCATATTATCCCGTGGGTTTCGTAATAGGCAACAGAGGGAAATTGAACCAGGAGATTGGCAGCAGAGTTTTCATTATAAGAACTGAATAAGGATAAAAATGCAGTTGATATCCGCTTACCTAGCGTGGTAACTAAGGCAAATATCCACCCTATAAGGTAACTTCAGGGGGAGGCATATGTTCAGCAGTGGACTTTTGACAGACTGTAATGGTAGTTGTAGTGTAGGTAGGGGCTCATATCCAGAATTGGACTTTAACAGAATATAATTTTCACCAGAGAAAATGATTTCATTTAAGCTGTTGTAAGTGTAAAGTACATTGATTTCGTAATCGGTTGCTATATGAATTTTGTCAATGATCTATATCGATTTATCGTAGTGGGACGACAATAATAATATTCCACAACTATCAAACAACGCCATCTAGTCCCAAGCTAAGCAGAGCTTGTGTTATGGGTACTAGACAACTGATAAACATACTTATATATTTTTAAATACATAAATATTATAGATAAATTACACCCAGACACAGAACAAATGATCGTGCTCATCACACAAACATTTGTCCTGGGTGGGAATCGAACCCACGACCTCCGGCGTAGCAGTCAGGGTCACTAACCACTAGACCAACAGGCCAGTCCAATGATAAGTCAATGCACGTGATGAATCGGGTAGATTGATTCAGGTACTGTCGTCGACGCGGCGATATTGAGTAAATTCTCAATCTCAGCAAGAAGGTACGATACAAAGAAATATCTATATATATATATATATAAACACTTAGATAAAACCATAGACCTTTTGATATAATTAACCTAGATATGATAAAACGTATTGAATAAATACTCTTTGATATATGAATAAAACATTTCACACGATTCAGAAAAAACTCAAATATATGTATATAGTAATCTATGGAACAAACTCTCGACAAGTACAACTGACAGTAGCCTTACGTTTGTTTACAAATTTACAATATATACAAAAATCAAAATAAAATAAGCATATTATAGGTATTTATAATAAAGCGAACATTTCATACCTGGAAGATTTTTGTGAAAGGTAAGAAAATATTGCGTATATCCGATAAAAAGGCCTAATATATTCCAGTGTATAATAAATGCAGTATGCAAAATTGAATATTTTTTTCTTCACCGCCAAGTATGTGCTAAATAAAAATAACCACATCGGCAATCAATAATTTGAATGGTGCCGGCGGTGGGTATCGATTAACGATTGGTCGCATCTTTGAAATTTAACGTGAGCGTCTAGATTCCTAGCCACATAACACAATAAACTAAAAGTATTTTATTTGGTATGTAAGATAATACTTCTTTTTATTTACAGACTATGTTGAAAATCGGCGGAGGCGCCGTCATAACGGCAGCGATCGTGGCAGTGTTCATCGCAGCCACGCAGGGTCGTGACCCTGACCTCGAGGCCTTGGAACACGAGGGTCGGGATTACATCATGCAGCTGGACCGTATGGCAGGCATCAGGAAGAACCGGGCCAGTATTGCTGAGTGGGCGTATACGTCAAATATAACTAAGGAGAATGAGGAAGCGCGGGTGAGTTGATTGTGTTGTATTAAGGATATTTTTTATTGATTTAGCCGTCTACCCACCATGTAGAGGCGGGCGTGAAAATATCCACGACCCCATATTGCCCTGTGCGTGTCATGTAAAGCGACAGAGGAAAAAAAAAACTGCGGTTGTTATTTCATTTGCTATCTCGCGATATGAGGCAATCTATGGGTAGGCCTTATCGACTACCCCGTCATCATTCTGTGGATATTATAAGCAGCTACAGAGGGAAATAAACCAAGAGACGGGCAGCAGCGGCTTTGAATCGGAATTCGCCAAACCTTGGCAACTGCTTTATATTAACAGTGGACTTTTGATAGCCTGTAAAGTATCAAAAGTCTAGGTACTAATATTAAGCCGCGCAGGTACGGGTTATCAATGCAACCATTTATTGCTCTATCTTTTATCTCTTTTTATTTAGAACCACACACACTCACAAACTCTCACAGAATACCAACGTAAAATATCAGCTTAAAGCTACTGTGTTTCGTGTGGTGAGTCTTGAGAACCGGGGACCCTTTTTACTGGAAGCGAGGCGTTCCTTTTCAGTCTTCAGGGGTGACAACGCATCTTCATTTTGATTCTTAATTGAGAATAAATGTAGATGTCTATGGGCCACAGTTCTGCTTACCATCAGATGAACTGTGTGCTCGTTTGCTCAACCTTATTCTATAAATAAATAATTAAATGTAGATAAGACCAGATGTCTCGCACCTCGCATTCATCACCTTAACTCTTTCCGCGGGTGTCTTAAGAGTCTTAAGAGACCGAAAAATCGTGGTCTTCAATAAATGGCAACACTGTATATAAACTATCCAGACCGAAAACGAGGAACAGCTTTGCGGAATTCCTCTTAAGACACCCGCGGAAAGAATTAAGGTGATGAATGCGAGGTGCGAGACATCTGGTCTTATCTACATTTAATTTTTTTTTATAGAATAAGGTTGAGAGTAAACGAGCACATAGTCCACCTGATGGTAACGGTATGGTGATGCTAAATGTATGCTATAGCCTATAGACATCTACATCGATCGTCGAATAAGAATCAAAATGCAGGAAGCGTCGTCGCCCCTGAAGACTAAGATGAAACGCCTCTTTGCCAGTAAAAAGGGTCTCTGATACTCTACACTCCCCATACGAAACACAGCAGCGTAGTGGACTAATTTTACAGATTATATCACGTTTAATTTTACCTTTTTTAATTTTTTTTTATAGGATAAGGGTGACAAACGAGCACACAGTCCACTTGATGGTAAGTGATTGCTGCGGCCCATAGACATCTACATCTATCCTCCATTTAACACAAATCCACAAATCAAAATGTGCATTGATGCAATGCAATGATGCATTGTCACCCGTGAGGACTAAGATGGAATGCCTCATTTCCAGTAAAAAGGGCCTCCGGCCACCTGCACTCACCAAGCGAAACGCAGAGGTAAACCTCTACTTCACGCTGGTTTTCTGTAAGGTCGTGTACCACCCCGGTTCGAGCCGGCCCAACCGTGCGACAGCAAAAGCTGCCGCGTGGCTCTACTACTGTGAAAAATTTCCCGAAACACCCATAATCACGGAAGGGAGGGGGCGGGGATATGAGGTGTTTGATGTCCTGATGTCATAGTTAAAGACGGCTATCTTCAACTTTTATTTATTAATTTTATCGATCTGCGCGGAACGAGCTTACAGTATCTTGTAATCTTGTAGTAGTATACTTGGGTTGGTTTGGATTTAATTATATAAATTATGGGATGATAATAGCACCCAACCACCTTCTCTATTGAAATTCGGATGTTTTTAATCATCCTTTGTAGGAATCAGTGTTTTGCGGGGATTTGTGGCAGGCATCATGGGGATTGCAAAGAGCTCAAAACGTTGGGAATTAAAAAGTTAAATTAAAGGCAAAAATATCCGAAAAATCAGTTTTATTCAATGGGAGAGACCTATATGTTCAGCAATGGACAGTTACGAGCTGATGATGATGAAGAAGAATATAACAATAGTAATATTTGATCTTTTTTTTATTAATGCGTTCTAGATTCAAATCCAATTAGAACTGTCAAAACAAGAGAAGCAAGCTTGGGAGGAAACTAAGATGTACAGATGGCAAGACTTCCAGGACTTCTCGCTGAGGAGAATGTTCAAGAAGTACAGTCAATTAGGTGTGTCCGCATTGCCGGATGACAAATACAAGCTGCTCATGCAATCCGTATCCGGTATGGAATCCAATTACGCGACATCGAAGATTTGTTCTTACAAGGACTCCGCGAAGTGCGATTTAGCTTTGGAACCCGGTAAGTGACAAATTTTGCTGTTTTTATTTTTTACTAACCTTTACCTACGATTTCCACGTTTATTCCGAAGACGTTTATTTCGAACATTTAAAGATATATAATAGTGGTCTTTGGACAAGTAGTTAATAATTGAAAAAACACTTAAAACTCAGTTCAGCTATTATCTTTATAGCTATGTACGTTAAGGTAAAATTGTTAAACTAAAAAGCCAAAAATTTATTAATTTTACTTAAAAAGGCATATTTTTAACACATATGACCTTATTTATAAAAATCGATAATTTAAGAAATGCTTAAAGTTCTGCTCTCTTTTTTCACTACATGAGAATAGGAAGAGACAGGTATAGAGATAACTTAATAATTAATTTAATTATCATAGTTATAGTTATAGTTTTGTTGCAAAATGGCTTCGATTTGTGAAAAAAAAAGATAAATATCGATATTTCATCAAAACTAAGAGCTAGAAAATATTTTCGAAAATCCAAAAGTGCACGCATCATGAGCGTTTTTTTTAATTTTGATGAAAAAATAAATTGTATTACTTTACGTATTTCAGATATATTCATAGATAAGTATATATACAAGTCGAGCTTTCAAATATAATAAAAATTTTCCGATTTTTTTTTAAATTATTAAAACGTTACAATGACCTCGATTAGATACTGCTCATAAACAATTCTAATGCTTATAAATACAGACTAGTGAATTTTATAATCGCAGCTTAATAATACTCCAGGAAATGTTCTTGTGCCTTAAGAATGCGAAAGTGAAGGACAACCGCATCAATCACATCTAAACTCGGAATCCGACAGTGTATGTATGTTCAGTCAAAAGGATCGCCAACCATCCAACCACACGACTGTGCCAGATCAATATGACAAACTAGTTCTGAGTAATATTTTTGTTTTTCCAATTCTTGTCTTGACTTTCTAAATAACAGTGAGGCTAAATTTTTACGAGAAAGCCGGTTAAGTTATTTATATATTATCTTCTATCTATATTACGATGATATAACTCTAGTACGACGTCTGTCTGAACACGCATCACGTAATAACCTGTAAGCCGATTTGGATGGGACATTCATTAGCAAACAGCTGATGTTACAAAGAGTAACTTAGGCTACTAAACTAACTAAATTTCACGCGGGCGAAGTGGCGGGGAACAGCTAGTATTTTAATAAAAGAAAGGTAACCTAAGTACAAGTTCGTTTAATTTTGATGCAACAACGATTCCCTTCACAGTCCAAATAGCTGTTTTTAGAGCTTGTGAAATTTACAAAAATTGTAAGTTTATATAAATAGTTTATCTCTCATCATATTACAGTTTTTTAAAAGTTCGCAGCTCAACATAGGCCTATCCCATATATTGGCTCACAGAGGGGATGCCATAGTTGCTTGGCACGCATACATACACATACAGGGGATTTAACAAGCGCTGTTTTTTTTTAAAATATTTTGAGTTTTTATTAGAAAGATGCTGTTGCCCATCTGCTGTATCGTTTTCGTCTGTTGCCTCTTACAACACATACGGGGAATAGGGTACAGTATTTTTTCTCACGATGGCGGGCCAGTCTTACTTGTGAGTAAGTAAGTGCACTTTAATGCAATTAAGTAGGTGCTCATGCGTATTGTTTTGGTGTGCGTAAGCTAGAGAGTCAAATTACTATCGAGTACCGCCAGAACGGAAAGCCAACGGAGAAAAATTGTTTGCAGTTTTGTTTGTAACAGTTTATGTTATGTGTCGAATTATATGTTTCTAATTACGTAATGCGTATTTCAGGGCCGTCAAATGATCGCTAGGTTGTGTAGACAATAGATAATAGACAATAGACAATATACAATCATTTATTGATGTGACGTTGAAATTATCACCACATCCAACCATTATTATACCACGCGGTTGCTTTTCAGCAATGCCCGTTAAGACTACACCGATCATTTTCATATTTCTTTTTGTTGTAAACGAAAAAAATTCTACATAACTAATCGTAATTAGAACACCTATGTCTCTAAACATCACAACTCCAAGTAACATGGCGGCCTCTCATCTCAGGGCTACCTCGTTTAAAGCCGGGGCGGCATCACAGGCAGCTGAACTGAGTAAGTGGCGCAAATATGAGTCTCTGAGAGATGACTACATAATTGTGCCATTTGCTGTAGATACTATCGGTCCGTGGGTTCCACGTGCGGTGAAGTTCCTAAAGGAACTCCATCCGCGGCTGGTCGTTGCTGCTGGTGATAAGAGGTTTGGTTCTTTTCTCGCTCAAAGACTAAGTATAACCATTCAGCGGGGAAACGCAGCCAGCGTTCTTAGCACGATACCGCGGGGAGTAGGACTATATGATAATTAAGTTTCTAGTTTTAGTTTTTTTATTATTATTATAGTTTTTAATATTACATATAATATAATATTGTATATGCTTTAAAAAATGTAATACAGTCTACTTCCGCCTTCGTGAGATAAAACATCTATAGTGGATTATCTTTCGTCACCGCTATACGGCCTAAATAAAGATGCCTATGTCCAGTATAGAACTTTTACGTGATGATGATGAATTAAAAGACGTTTTCGTGCTCATAACTCGCAGTTGTGATCACGACACAGAAATAATATTTTTTTAATGAAATAGTATGCAACATTAAAGAAACATTTGTATTTTCAGATATCACAGAGCTCTTTGCGAAGAGTCAAGACCCAGAAGAATTGAAACATCTGTGGGTGGAGTGGCACAAGGCGGCCGGCGCTAGGGCGCGTGCAAACTTCACGCAATACGTACAGCTCGATAATGAAGCCGCTAAACTTAACAGTAAGAAATTAATACGTAATACATATATAATTTTTGATAAAGGTTTAGAAAATAGGTGCAACGCGGTTTATAGTCAAAAGTTCATAGGTGTGAGAGCACCTATTAAGATACGTGAGGGTAATATGGTCACCTTAAGCTTTGCCGTCCTATGAAACCAAAACTAGGAGGAATAAAGAGACAAAACAAAAAGTCGTATAATTTAACTAATAAGAAAGTAATAGCAAATGTTAAGAAAATAATAGCAAACAAGCTTTGGCAATAATTATGAATAATTTACTTAAAAATAACTACATTACACAATACTAAAATCGACTAAAATATTTACTATAATGTCAACTGTCAAAATGGCGTCGATAAAGCAGCGCCCTTTTGACCATTTATTATTTGATTGACCGATGAACAGCTATCGTATCACAGAGCCTTCTATGCAAACTGTAAGGCTGAAGTTTCTGAGTTATAAGAAAGTGACCAATGACCATATTATCCTCACCTTTAACCTTTAATTTTTTTATCTATCATTTAATAATTTATTTAATTAAAAATATATTTTGATGTCAATTACAAACTTAGTAGGAAAGCTACACAAACATTAAGAATTTTAGCTTTGTTATGGACACGAATTAGTTATACATATACCCGTGAATAGCACATCACAGCAACTAAAACTTAAAAAGATTATTATTTTTAGGCCACACAAATATTGCGCGAATCAATTTGCAGACCGTACCTACACTACGTACACTAAAATGACGTCTGCGTGACCGAGTGGTTAAGTTAGAGCTACTACGCCGCTACAGCTCAAACTTAACATGAAATTTTATACGTTCCAGGCGTACGTCAAATTTTTTATTCAATTTAGGCTTATTTATAGCTCTTATGTACTTCAGAATCTAAACCGGTTCGTAAAACAAGACCTTCTCAGAGAAGAACTGGCAAGAAAAGCGGAGAATTCACTTGACGGGCATGCCCGCGGGCATATCTGTTCGGGCATGTCTGTCGCCGCAATACCCTACACAGACTCATCATGCCCGCGGATGTCTGTAGACATGCCTGCCGGACTTCGCTACTATAGGTCTGTGCAAAGTTTGATAGTTTAGGACTGTCACAGTCGGTCTGGCAGACTTGCCTGTTTAACGTCTGCGCGATTCCATTTTTTCTGCGCGGGCACAGACGTAAAACAAACTGATGAGTCTGTGTAGTGTATTGCGGCGACAAACATGCCAGAACAGACATGCCCGCGGGCATGTCCGTCTAGTGAATTCCCCGCTTAACTCTGTGGCTTTTAAAAGCTAAGTTACAGTTTGTTTTAAAACTTATAAAAAAATAATAATATCAAACGTCTATTATTATATTTTTTTAAATATGAATTTTAAAAATATATTAGTAGGCAAGGGACTTCCAAGTGCAGAGTAAAACTAACTGCTTAGTGGCGCAGTGGCTTAGCAATTAGTTACGGCGCTGAGGGCCGCACGTTCGAATCCCGCACGGAACAAGCATTTCTATGGCTTCATTGTTCCGGGTCTGGATGTTTGTCCTTGTGAAATTTATGTATGTAAACTGCCTCTACGATACAGGAGAAAATCCTAGGGTGGAGGTAATGTTTTTTTAAAACAAGAATAAAAAAGTTATTTCGACACATCATTGTCCTCAATATACCTATTAAACTTTTTAAAGTATTTTTTTAATAAAATTCTTTATCAAGGCTTTATTAAAGGTATGTTTGATTGATTATAATGTATATAGTCTACGTAAATATGGAGCAGCCAGCCTGGGGGCTACTACAAAAATTTTCTTAGGAAGTTTCGACTGATAAATTGCACGTTTTCTTAATATCAGTATTTTTTACTATTTACAAGGAGTTTTGGATCCGAAATTTCCAGACCGACGATTTTAATATTTTAACTTTTTTAACTTTGAGGGACGCTTTTCGAATAAAATAACCAGGTTTCTTTTTTATTTATTTTTTAAGACTTCAAAGATGTAGCCGAATGGTGGCAGTCGGAATATGAAGTGCCCGATTTCGAGCAGCAGCTGGCAAAGCTTTGGGAGGATGTGAAGCCGCTGTATCAACAGCTTCACGCTTACGTGAGAAGACGGTTGCGAGACAAGTATGGAGACCAAGTCGTTTCAGCGAGGGGTCCTATTCCTGCACATTTATTAGGTATGGATGTCTTGTTTTTATTTGTTAATTCGGGCAGGCCTCTGTCAATCTTGCTACCTGCGTGAAATAATTACCTAGAATCGCGAGCTGCTCCATAGGTAGATCGCAGTCGGGGCTAGCGCGCTCTATACGATTAAATGTTAAAGTTTTTTTTAACGCTGTTTATGTAAATAATGTTTTGTAAATACTTATTGAAATACTCGTCAAAATAGTTTTTGTTTAGCGTTTAGTATATTTAATTGTAGGATAAAATAGTTGAAAAAGTTTTAATGTAATTTAAGAATAATATATATATTATATATGTATATTACCTATCTATTTGATAAATTATAATGGCAAAACGTCATTCCAACTATAATTGTTGCGGAAGTGGATGCTTAATGAGCAATTAAAAGGATTCAGATATATCATTTTTTGAGTTACTGAAGGATAATGAAAGGTAAATTTATTTAATTTTTTGTTAGATAATAGGAAATACGTCAAAAGGTTATCTGTTAATAATAATAATAGTGTAAGAGTGGATGTTCAACTTGCTCTCCTGCTTATGCAATTAATCATTATCGGCAATAAAACAGCGTGCTGCATTATACATTTAGTATAGAGTAGAACAATTACAGTTCGACCATACCGTAATATGTCTCGATCTACCAGGTATTTTATAGACGCGCCGATAAATACGTATTATGTAAAAAATACAAATAAATTATCAAGTACTTAAAATATAAAATAAAAGATACAAAAAAAAAAAGAATTCGATATTTCGTTCCTACATGAAGTGTTTGTTAATTGAATTGGTCTTTGATATGATTGTTCATCACAAAAAATTGGCATGCCTGAGGCCAGGGCACAACCCTTGTGTTTCGGCTAGTTTGGTATAAAAGTTACAGCCTATATACGTCCCACTGCTGGGCACAAGCTTCCCCTAATTTCTGAGAGGGTTTTAGGGCAAGGAAGTATCCTTGTCCTATGTACTAGTTTGCTATAAAATGATTAATATACAAACAACTTTGTATTGACAAAAACAGCTAAAACAAATAAAAATAAAGTAGGCGATAGATTATTCTTTCTTTAAATACAATCAACCATATTTTTATTGCAGGAAATATGTGGGCACAGACTTGGAACAATATAGAATCATTCACGCGTCCCTATCCTGATAAGAAGGAGGTGGACATCACGCAGGCGATGCGAGAGCAAAACTACACGGCCCTAAAGATGTTCCGAATGTCCGATGAGTTTTTCAGATCCTTGAACCTGACTGCGATGCCGGAGAAGTTTTGGAAAAACTCAATCATAGAGAAACCCACTGATAGGGAAATTGTGTGCCACGCGTCAGCGTGGGACTTCTATGATGGGGAGGACTTTAGGTAAGGGTAAATCACTGATAGTTTTGACTTTAAGTATGCAGCTTATGGCTTTATATAAATGGACTTTAGATTTAGGTAAATACTTTATGACATTTTATTTATAACTAGCGATCAACTAGCGTTTTAGATTTAAGGTAATGAAAGACTATTGATTTTATTATATATTTAATTTTTCGGATTTCAAAAACAATTTTATGGATAAAATATAACCTAAATAACTAATCCTGGAATTGCTCTCTATCTGTTTGGCAAGTTTCATTACAATCGGTTCAGCCATTCCGCAGATTACACCGGACAGGCAAACTGACAGACAAACATTTTTAAAATGGTCTCGCGTCTTATTGGCGTGCAAATAACCCTCTCAGCTCAATATAAGGCAGTTATTTCGATATTACAGACAGACACTTCAATTTTATTTTATCAATATAAAACAATACCCTAAAGAATGTATAGATATATATGTGTATTGCAAGTTATAATCTCACAAATTTCACATCACTTTACATTTCACTTAGCTAAACAATTTTACGTGGCGAAAGCGCTAAAATAAAAAATAAAAACGCATATGTTTTATTTATTATTTCACTTTTTTATGAACTCGGTTTTTTTTAAATTATTATAGCAGGATGAAAAATTTCAATTTGGTCTACTTTACCATACGCTACTTCCATTATGTAACTTGCTTTCAATAAAAATATATCTGGACTTATTAAGCTTCAGTCAGCTGTTTGACTCCAAAAGAAATATGGTGTAAAAGGGGCTTGCGAGAATTAATTTATAAATTGCGGTGGTGGGTGTGAGTAAAATATAAAATGGTACCATTCCAAATTGTTTCCTTACATGTCTGGCTTAATTTGAAGGATCAAACAGTGCACGACTGTAGATTACGAATATTTCCAAACGACTCACCACGAAATGGGACACATTCAGTACTTCCTCCAGTACAAACACCAGCCTGTTATATTCCGGGACGGCGCTAATCCAGGTAATTGACCCGATTTTTTTCTTTAACGCAGGATCAAAATGTGTACGGTGGTGAATAAAGAGCATTTGAGGGTAGTTCATCATGAAATGGGGCACATTCAATATTATTTGCAGTATAGACATCAGCCGCAAATTTTCCGAGCTGGTGCTAATCCAGGTGATAATATCCATCCTGAAGAGTATATTTTCTAATTATCACCGGTTGTATTTGCTAGCACTTTTATCTAACTGTTTATAACTAACTTTGGGGGTTAGCGAAGTTGGCATTCTACAATCGTAAACGCTAATTGAAAGCTATAAAATTGAATGAAATCAGCAATGAGTCATTGGAATGAATACCAGTGTAAAATATGCTTGATGCAGCTGTGTTTTGTATTGTTAGTGTAGACCACCGGATACTTTTTTTACTGGAAACGAGGCATTCTATCTTAGTCCTCTGGGGCGATAACGCATCTGTATTTTTATTCTTAATTGAAGAACGTAGATACCACAGTATCCATTCACCATCAGGTGGACTGTGTGCTCGTTTTTTATCCATATTCTTTAATAAAAGTGACTGTCGCGTGACTAAAATTTGAAATGTCTTTACTATTTATTTTTATAGTTTTCTATTAGCTTTAACGATTGTAGAAAGTCAACTTGTCTAACCACGTTAGTCTATTATCGTAAATATCTTTTTATAAATCCGTTACGAAAAATAAAATTACACTTTTCATTTAATTAACACATTAACGGAATTAATAGTTTGTTTTTCTTTTTTTTTCTTGTCTTTTTCTATTTTCGTATCTTTTAATTTCCGTATTTTCTGTTCGCTGGTTTTTATTTGTTAGTTAGTTTTTGCTATAAGTTAATTTTTATTCCAATTACTCTCTTCCTCGATATAATGTTTAAATTTCACTGCTTACTTTTGTTACTTATTTAGATTTATGTTTGTCGTGTTTCTAATATTAATATAATGTTTTTAAAGCTAGATAGGTAATCTTACCAAATGCATAATTCGCTACTAGGTTTCCACGAGGCTGTTGGCGATACGATCGCCTTGTCGGTGTCTTCGCCGAAACACCTGCGTCGCGTCGGTCTCGTACAGGGCGACGCTGAGGATGAGCAGACTGAAATCAATCAGTTGTACAAAATGGTATTTATCTACACTGCACATTATAATATTAAAAGTGACAACAATAATCGGTTAAGATTAAGTAATGATTTTGTCACCATCATCATCATTATAGTCTTTCAAAAGTCAATGGTAAAACATAAGTCATAGGGGAATAGTTGATAAGATCATGCGTTACTCTGCGGAATCCATTTTAAATAATTTAAAAGTAAAAATTTTGTACTACTTACTTCAATATAAATTATTAAGAATAACTCAAAAATTATTGGCCAGACCTTGATCAAATTTATATGAAACTACATGTGAAGCAACAGCTTTCAAATAAAAAAAGAATTGTCGAAATCAGTCCACCCAGTAAAAAGGTATGAGGTAACACACATAAAAAAAAACATACAGTCGAATTGAGTACCTCCTCTTTTTGATGTCGGTAGATAAAGATGTTAAAATTCTTGAGCTATGATCTGCATAAGAAATCAAAAAATAAACTATCGTCGTAGCTAAACAAACTTAACAATTTATATTTTTAATAGGGGGAGGGGGGATATTTGCCATAGTTGCCGCGCTTAGTAAGCGGGTTGGTCCTCCAAGTTTTTTTATTATGTTGAGTTGTTACGTGGACGATCTTGCTGCCCATATTCTGTTTCAGTTTCCCTCTGTCACATGACGGTACCCACGGTAAGATATGGGTTAGTGTATTCTTTTCCGCCACCACAACATGGTGAATTAGTGATAGCTGTTAGTAATGACCGCATTTCTACAGCATTTATTCTACTCTCATGCTTCTTCTGCCACACCCAACTTTCACTACCATACATTAAAGTAGGTACTAACACAGCATTGTGAATTGCCATACGTGCCTTTTTGGACACATTCTGACTTTTCACAATAGAGTGTAGAGCCCCATTCACTCTATTTCCTGCATTCACTCGTCGTTCTATATCCTTATCATATCTACCATCCCTGCTAAACACACATCCCAAATATACAAACTCATCTACTTGCTCTACCAACTCCCCTTCTATTCTTATTTCACATATCGTTTTACTTTCTTCTCTTTCAAAAACCATAACTTTCGTCTTACTTGCGTTCACTTTCATTCCCTTTTCTTTTAATGTCCTGTTCATTAATGTAACCATCATTTGCAACTCGGCTGCCGACGACGCAAGTATGACTTGATCATCGGCGTACAAAAGGCATTTGATGGTTAACTCACCCATTCTTAACCCGCATTCTTCTACTTTCAAATTTTCCAAACAACTGTCCATAAATAGGTTGAACAACCACGGGGAAGCCACACAGCCCTGTCTGACACCTTTATGGATGTCAAACCAGTCCGAGTAGGCCCCGTTGATCCTGACACAAGCACTAGAGTCCCTATATAGAGACTTCAATGCCTGTATCAGACCAGCGCTCAACCCAAATGAGTTCAGTGTTTGCCATAACACATCCCTGTCCACTCTGTCATAAGCCTTCTCCAAGTCCATGAACGCACAAAAAACTTTTTGGTTTTTGGCCAAAAACTTCTCGGCGATCATGCGCATGGAAAAGACCTGATCCGTACATCCCATTCCCTTTCTAAATCCCGCTTGCACATCCCAAATTTTTCCGTCAGTTTCTTTCATAACTCTTTCAATTAGTACCTTAGCATACAGTTTTCCCACAATGCTAAGAAGGCTGATACCACGGTAGTTTTTACAGTCCTGCTGTGATCCTTTTCCCTTATATATTGGGACTATCACGGCTTTGCACCAGTCTCTCGGTACCCGCTTAAGTTCCCAACATAAATTAAACAAGGTGTACAGCAGGTCTGCCACCACTCCTTCTCCAGCCCTTAGCATTTCGAGAGATACTCTATCATAACCAGCTGCCTTACCTACTTTCATACTTTTCATTGCTTTCATTATTTCATCTATACTTATATCTCTATTTCTTCTATCTATTTCCTCTTCTTTCGGAATTTCTATTTCATTTAATTCAAACGTCTCATCACTCATAAACACGCTTTCAAAGTATTCCTTCCATCTCCTTAAACTCAAAACTTCGTCATTCAGAATACAGCCATTCTGGTCTCGTATAGCATTCATTCTAGGCTGTTGTGAGTGTCCCCTGGTAGTTCTTACGAGTTTCCAGAACATTTTAATGTTTTCCTGGAAGTTATCCGATATTCTTCTATCATTCTTATCCGTTCTTTCTTGCTTTTTCCTTTCAACTACTTCTTTTACTCTCTTATTTAGGTGTCTAAAAACCGCCTTTTTCCTTTCAATATCATCATTCATACTGCTAGAATTACTAGCCTTGGTTGCTAGTAAATCTAGCCATGCTTTCTTCTTTGCTTCAACTTCCATCCGTACCTCATCATACTAAGGAGTATGTTAGGGATGAAGCTGAATGACAGAGTGAGAAATTGTTTAATAAGAGAAGAGTGTGGTTTGCAAGATGATGTTGTGACCAGGATTAAGAAAGGAATGCTTCGGTGGTTTGGCCATGTAGAAAGAATGAATGAGGAAAGAGTGACAAAGCAAATTTATGTTGCAGAGGTGAACGGCATAGTCGGGAAGGGTCGCCCTAGGCGAAAGTTTATCGACCAAATTGGCGATATATTAAAAATGGGCCAAATCAAGAGTACCTTTAACCGACGAGCGTGTATGCGTAGGTATATGGATGTGGAGGAAGCGAGAGAGGTGTGTCAGGATCGTGCCAAATGGAAGTCCATAATCTCTGCCTACCCCTCTGGGTGACAGGCGTGAGTGTTTATGTATGTATGTATGTATGTTAGTAATGGTGGATTTATGAATGGAAACAGGAAATAACGGCTTTGCTCTCAGATTTTATAGAAGTTGTGCGTCTTAACCTCAGCAAAACTGCTTATTTTACATAGGGATGCACCTCTTTAGAGTCATTGGAATAGTTTATGACCATTTTACGCCTATGTGTTAGTTTTTGAAGACCAAATTTGTTATCGACAAAAAGCAGGAACTACATCTGATGCTAAGTGACAGCTGCTCAAAGAATAGAATAGAAGAGAATCATTTTTAATCAATATAGATTACAATACATAATACATAATGCAAGTCATTTTTTACTTTCACCACTGGTTCGCAAAAAACCTCTGTCCTGGGAAGAACCAGCAAGAAACCCAGCGGGACCTTTTAAAAAAAAGCACTATTTACAATGTAATATTTTATACAGTTGCTATGAAAACATTTAGAAACAGCACGGTAGCGATCACCTCATTCCCAGTAAAGATATTGGATGTGTTGTCACTTGGGAAGACTTAATTGTAGTTTGAATGATTTTTAGCTCGCAATTTTCTTAAGTCTTTATACGTCAAACTAAACTTAAACTAGCAGTTATTCCGCCGCACTGATCCAGTGCTACGGCGGACCTCATATGTTCTCTAATATTTTATTTCCTACATAATGAATGTCAAACACTGCGAGAAAACGTGTCTAAGATATGAAATAGAATAATTTTAAAACATTTGAAGTACACCAACAAGCTTTGGGACAGCGCAATGGACGTTTTCTTGCCCAAAGCCTTGCCTTGAAATAAGAGACCTGTGTCCAGCCAATGCATTTGTATTACTAAATGTCATCGGGCTTTCTTCGTCTCAGATTTTTTTTTAAAACTTGATTATTGCTTTAGCCATGTTCGATTTTCAAATAGGCCCGAAACCTAACTGTCAGACCTTTTGTATTTGTATCTGTATAGATAATAAATTGCTCTTTTTCAGGGTATAGACAAAATAGTGTTCCTTCCATTCGCTTACACGCTGGATCTATTCCGTTACGGTGTGTTCCGTGGCGAGACGCAGCCTGAGGACTATAACTGCCACTACTGGAGGCTGCGGGAGATGCTCCAGGGCCTGGAGCCGCCTGTCAATAGGACCGAGGAAGATTTCGACGCTGCGGCGAAGTATCACGTCTCAGCCGATGTGGAGTATGCGAGGTATTTTTCTGAGACAATATATATTATGTTGGGTCTTATGTATCACTGGCTGACCTACACGGCCTTCTATAACATCCTATAACTGCCAAATTTAATTCTATATATTAAATTGGTAGAGCCAAGCTGCAGCTATATTACTGGTATAGTCGTAACACGAATGGGTCTGCTCGACTAGCGAAGGACCACACTCTAATGGAATACCAGCGTAAAACACAAAAACAGCAGCTTAATGCTGCTTTGTTTCGTATGGTGAGTGTAGAAAACCGGAGACCCCTTTTTACTGGAAAAGAGGCATTCTATGTTAGTCATTACGGCTGACATCGCATCGGCATTTTGATTCGCAAACGAGGATAGATGTGGAGATCTATGTGTTCGATAAAGGGTCGATTAAGGGGTTCAACGGCGGAGATAGGGGGGAGGGGGGAATGTCTCAGTCTATTGCACCGCATAGCCTCATACAATACAAGCTATGCTAATAGCTCTAAGCTCAACACCGCCCTCTTCAGTTTGCGACGGCGCGGCGTAAGAGAATACATCACTCTATTCTGTCCTGTAAGTATCGTTAGAAGCCATTTTTTATAGGATAAAGGTGACAAGCGAGCACACATTACACCTGATGGTAAGTGGTTGCTGTGGGCCATAGACATCTACCTCTATCCTCGTTTGCGAATCAAAATGCAGATGCGTTGTCACCCGTGAGGACTAAGATAGAAAGCCACTTTTCTAGTAAAAGGGTCTCTACACTCACCATACGAAACATAACAGTGTTAAGTTGCTATTTTACGCTGGTATTCTGTGAGAGCGTGGTCCTACCCAGTCGAGCTGACCTATTCGTGCTACAACTATACTACTAATATAGCTGTAGCATGGCTCTACCACGTATAAACCAACGTTTCTGGACCAAAGTCTTATTGTTATTGCAGGTACTACGTGTCATTCATCATACAGTTCCAATTCCACCGCACCCTTTGCCAGCTGGCTGGTGAATATGTCCCGGAGGATTTGACTAAGAAGTTGGTCGATTGTGATATTTATCAAAGCGTTGCTGCTGGAAACGCATTAGCGTAAGTACTTGTTCTAATATAAATAAAAAATAAAACAAAAAAAAAGTTTATTCTGTAACAATAAATTTATTTCAATAACAGTACATAGAGTTCTCCTTTTAAGTGTTTTTAATACATGTGACAAGAAATCTCGCTGTTCCTGAATTAACATACAATATTTTAATTACAAAATAATTTCCCTTATCTTTTAATAATCATAATTATAAAAATCAGTAATGAGCCGTGGTAGCGCAGGGCGTTCGCTGTAAATTTCACAGTACGCGAACAACCCGGGTTCGATTCCCGCCGGCACCAATGAAATTGTTAATTGCAATTTTAAGTGCTGATTTAAAACGTGCTCGGTGGTGAAAGAAACATGCATGTCCGAGAAATAAGAAAAAATATTTTGAAGAAATTTGAAGAAGTGGTTACTTTAATGAACTGGTCATTAAAAGAAAGGGGTATGAAAGTGAACGCAAGTAAGACAAAAGTGATGGTTTTTGAAAGAGAAGAAAGTAAAACGTTATGTGAAATAAGAATAGAAGGGGAGTTGATTGCGCAAGTGGATGAGTTTGTATATTTGGGATGTTTATTTAGCAGGGATGGTAGATATGATAAGGATATAGAACGACGAGTGAACGCAGGAAGTAAAGTGAATGGGGCTCTACACGCTATTATGAAGAGACAGAATGTGTCAAATAAGACACGTATGGCAATTCATAATGCTGTGTTAGTCCCTACTTTAATGTATGGTAGTGAAGGTTGGGTCTGGCAGAAGAAGCATGAGAATAGAATAAATGCTCTAGAAATGCGGTCGTTAATGAGTATGGGACTGAATTTGAATGACAGGATGAGAAATAGTGTGATAAGAGAAAAGTGTGGTTTGCAAGATGACGTTGTGACCAGGATTAAGAAAGGAATGCTTCGGTGGTTTGGTCATGTAGTAAGAATGAACGAGGAAAGGGTGACAAAGCAAATTTATGTGGCAGGAGTGAATGGCAGAGTCGGGAAGGGACGCCCTAGACGAAGGTTTATCGACCAAATCGGCGATACATTGAAAATGGACCAGATTAGGAGTAACCTTAACCGACTAGCGTGTATGCGTAGATATATGGATGTAAAGGAGGCGAGAGAGGTCTGTCAGGATCGCGCCAAATGGAAGTCTGTAGTCTCTGCCTACCCCTCTGAGTGATAGGCGTGAGTGTTTGTGTGTTGTGTGTGTGAAGTCCGCCCACACGCATTGGGGCAGCGCGGAGGACATTTCCTTGCCCTAAACCCCTCTCAGAATTGAAAAGAGGCCTGTGCCCAGCAGTGGGACGTATATATGCTGTAACTTTAACTTTTTAAACTTTTTAATTATAAAAATCTGTGAGTGGGGGCGCGCGCGCGGCGTGTGTGTGTGTTTATGTGTATGCGTGTATGTGCATTTAACATTTATTAAAAAATGCGTCTTTATAAAAGTTAACACAACTATATATGAAATAACTAACTATATGAATATTTCACGAATTTTTCCTTCACCACCGAGCACTTGCACCAAAATTGCAATAAACAATTTTATTATTTATTGCAATTTTGATGCACGTGCTCGGCGTTGCACATTCTTGGCGTCTATCAGACCTTATTGATCCCGTACTGTGAAACTCACGGTGAACCCTTTGCCTCTGAGCCACCACGGCTCTGCTAGTACCTGGCCCATTGCGACCACGATGACAACCACAGGAGCAAAAGATCAATTAAAAAAAATATAAATAGCCTTTTGTAACCTCGCATTGACAAGCGCAATGTTGGGCGACGACACACAAGGTGGAGTATCTGTAATTTGTGGCAATATATAGGGGTCAGCAGCGGTTTGGGATGGGATGTAATATATATATATATCCGTGATCCCGAGAGGGAAAACTGGTAGCGATCACCGAATGGTTAGAGGCACACTGAACCTAAACGTTAAGTTGGAGAGGTCTCGTCTAATGAAGTCAACGCTCCGTCCCCCTCGTGCTCTGTTCCAAAGTCCCGAAATCTTTCAGCTCGAGTTACAAAACCGTTTTCAGTGCCTAGAAGACTGCAATGAAGTGGACGATATGAATGACAGGCTCGTGGAAACTGTCCATGCTGTCGGAGCTAAGTTCTGCAAGACCCGCCGCAGAAGAACACAAAAATTCTCCGATCACACTCTTAATCTCATGGCTGTTAGACGGGACATGAAGCTACATTCTTCAACAGATTTGACAGCATACAGGCAACTGAACAGACAGATCTCCAAATGTATGCGGCGGGACTTACGCAACTTCAATACGGCTTGTATTGAAGAAGCGATCGAGCGGAAGCAAAACTCCAAAATCTTTGCCAGAGATCTGTCTGCCAGAAAGAGCCAACTGTCAAAGCTGAAGACCGAATGTAGCAGCATCGTTTCCGGGACACCTGAGATTTTGAGTGAGATTGAGAGGTTCTATGGGCAGCTGTACATGTCATCGTTGGAGCCACACGCAAGTGTGATTAACGATCCAAGAGCGAGTCTAATCCGACACTATTCCGAAGATATCCCGGACGTCAGTCTGAGCGAGATTAGAATGGCTCTCCAGCACCTTAAAAACGGAAAGTTCCCGGGCGAGGATGGAATTACAGCGGAGCTTTTGAAAGCGGGTGGAAAACCGGTACTTGAAGTCTTTCAGAAGCTCTTTAATTCCGTCCTCCATGGTGGCACTACTCCGGAAGCGTGGAGCAGAAGTGCGGTGGTCTTGTTCTTCAAGAAAGGCGACAACGCTCTCTTGAAGAACTACAGACCTATTTCACTTCTAAGCGGCGTCTACGTGCTGTTTTCGAGGGTCATTACGAATCGTCTCGCACACAGACTTGACGACTTCCAGCTTCCCGAACAAGCCGGTTTCCGAAAAGGCTTTAGTACCATAGACCACATACACACCCTTCGGCAAATTATACAGAAGACAGAGGAATATAATCTGCCACTTTGCCTTGCGTATGTGGACTATGAGAAAGCCTTTGATTCCGTCGAAATTTGGGCGGTGCTGCAGTCCCTCCAACGGTGCCAAGTTGACTGTCGGAATATCGAAGTGCTGAAGTGTTTGTACAGTAGAGCTACGATGGCTATCCGAGTACAGAATAAGAGTACGAAACCTATCCAACTGCAGGGAAATGTAAGACAGGGTGACGTTATATCCCCGAAACTCTTCACCGCTGCATTGGAAGACGTTTTCAAGCTGCTGGACTGGAAAGGATGCGGTATTAACATCAATGGCGAGTACATCACTCACCTTCGATTTGCCGAAGATATAGTCCTTATGGCAGAATCGCTGGAGGACCTAAGCACTATGCTCAATGACCTCAATTGTGTTTCCCAACGGATAGGTCTTAAGATGAACATGGACAAAACAAAGATCATGTTTAATGTCCATGTCACACCTATGCCGGTAGTTGTTGGGAGCACTAAGCTCGAAGTTGTTGACGAGTATGTTTACCTGGGACAAATAGTCCGACTAGGTAAGTCCAACTTCGACCGAGAGGTCAATCTATGGATTCAACTCGGCTGGGCAGCGTTCGGGAAACTACGACACATCTTCTCGTTAGACATACCTCAAAACCTTAAAACGAAATTGTACAACCAGTGCGTGTTGCTAGTGATGACTTACTTAGGAAGCTCAAGGTCGCTCAGCGAGCTATGGAGAGGGCTGTGCTAGGGGTTTCTCTGCGTGATAAACTTAGAAATGAGGATATCCGCAGTAGAACCAGAGTAACCTACATAGCCCAACGGATTAGTAAGCTGAAGTGGCAGTGTGCCGGCCATATAGCTCGAAGAACCGACAACCGATGGGGAAGAAAGGTTCTCGAGTGGCAGCCTCGTACTGGTAGGCGAAGTGTAGGGCGACTCCCCACGAGATGGAGTGACGACCTGGTAAGACATGCAGGAAGTCGATGGATGGAGATGGCTCAGGACCGTGCTTTGTGGCATTCTTTGGGGGAGGCCGATGTTCAGCAGTGGACTTGTGAAAGGCTGTAATGATGATGATGATGATGATATATATAATTACATTGACCGTGTAGTGGTAGTGTAAGAATGTCCACTGTCCGATATCATCCCGTGGGGACCAGGGGAAATAACCAGGAGATGGGCAGCAGCGTATTCCTAATAACAATTGAGAAATAAGAAACTGCGATTATCTGCAACTCACTTGTCAAATCGTGTGGCAACTATGGCAAATGTCGCCTCTATGAGGCAATATATGAAATAGGCCTATGTTTAGCAGTGGATGGTTAAGCTGTAACCGTAACGGTAATTACAGTATTGCCATTACTGGCAGTTATATTTGGGTATCTCATATATGTAGGAATTTAATTAATTTTTTAAATGTTTTGGCAGGAATATGTTAAAGATGGGTTCATCCAAACCTTGGCCTGATGCGATGGAAGCGTTAACAGGACAAAGGGCGATGAGGGCCGATGGGTTGTTGGAGTACTTCAGACCTCTCCACGAATGGTTGCAGGCAGAGAACCAGCGCACTGGTGAATACATCGGTTGGGAGCCTAGTAAGATACGTAAGTATATTTTTTAGATAAAATGAAGACTGAGTAATAGTACTGAATAATTTTTTTCTACTGACTTCAAGAAGGAGACGGTACTCAATTCGACTGTATGTTTTTTATGTGTGTTACCTCATAACTTTTTACTGGGTGAACCGATTTCGATGATTTTTTTATTTGAAAGCTGGTATTTCACATGTGATCCTATATTTTTTTTTATAGGATAAGGGTGACAAACGAGCACACAGTCCACCTGATGGTAAGTGGTTGCTGCGGCCCATAGATATCTACATCTATCCCCTATTCCAAATCAAAATGTAGATGCGTTGTCACCCGTGAGGACTAAGATAGAATGCCTCATTTCCAGTAAAAAGGGCCTCCGGTCACCTGCACTCACCAAGCGAAACGCAGAGGTAAACCTCTACTTCACGTTGGTTTTCTGTGAGGTCGTGGTACCACCCCGGTTCTAGCCGGCCCATCCGTGCGACAGCAAAAGCTGCCGCGTGGCTCTACCACTGTTAATGAGGTCCTATATAAATTTTATCAAGGTCTGACCAATATTTTTTTAGTTATTCTTAATAATTTATATTGAAGTCGGTTGTACAAAACTTTATTGTTTATAGGTTTTCCGTCCATAAATATCAAGTTAAATATAACTCTTGTGATAATATTAGCAATAATTAGTAATGATTAAATGAGATTATTCTTGATTGCATATAGGTTTCGAGTCGATTTTATTAAGTAAAAATACACTATCTATGTTATTACTTTATTCAAATAATTACTCTGATGATATACGGATATGAAACGTGGTCCTTCATTGCTGGCCGTATGAGGAAGGAAACAAATATATTTGTAGTTTGCGGGTTACGCGGGCGCACGAGAAACGACACGTTACGTGCTGGCCACTGCTGCGGAAATGGATTGAATATAAATGATGTTTACTGCGAGGATTTCCTGATAATATAATACAAGAGATAAAATTAAAAATTTTGTAGAACCGACTTCAATATAAATTATTAAAGATAACTCAAAAACCGTGATCAAATTTATATGAGAAGCACTTTCAAATAAAAAAAAGAATCATCGAAATTGGTTCACTGAGAAAAAAAATGAGGTTACACAAAAAACATACAGTCGAATTGAGTACCTCCTCCTTTTTGAAATCGATTGAAAAAGCTTTTAGCGCTCCCTTCTTCGCTGCATGTATAATTGTCCAACATGAAGGAAGTGCGATATTTGTGGACAAAAATATATTTTAAAACGTTTTTACTTATTGGGAAATAAAGCATTAAATAAAAATGTAGCCAAGTAAGAATCTAAATAAATAACATACCTTTCATACTATCGAAAAATATTATAAGGTTATCTCGCTTAAAAAATAAGAACTCGGGCGTTAAAGTTTTTTCGGGTGATTAAATTATTATTATTTTATCTCGATTTATGTAAAGTATTTTAAAAATCCATTTAATTAAGAGTTTAATTGAGTATTTCATGTATGAACATATTTTTTACAAGCTTATCGATTTTCGAGGGTCAAAACCGTGTTTAAAATACGTTATTTTGTTCAACCTGGCCTTATATTGTGTTGTGGTTGCAGAGTACTGCACGAGCGAGCAGCGCGCCGCGCTGGAGGCGGCCGACGCGCCGCGCGACTCGTGACGCGCGCGCACGCCGTACTTACTCTTAGTCTAATTTATATACCAACCATATAATAAACTTTTTAAGACAAACCCTTTGTTTTATTATACCGCGTATACGGTAAATACGTGTAATGTCCTCCAGACAAGGAATTGAACCTAGGTTCGATATCGTTACTCGTTTACGATGAAATATAAAGCCAGTCTCTGAGGTTTTCATAAATATATTTAAAATGTCAAAATTTTATTATTCTTTACATCTTTAAAGATGTAAAAAAAGGATGTAAAATAATGTAAGATGTAAAATAAAAGGATCATTAACATTAACATTTAATAAAAAGTAAACGCCGGTTTCAAATAACTATAAAAAAAGAAATAATTTCATGTTGCATGTTATTTTTTACTGTAACTGTGTAATGTCCTCCAGACAGAATTTCGGTCACGGCGGCAAGTCACAAAGACTAATCATCTGCGCAGGACAGGACTATAGTGCACAAGTATACGCAAGCACATGTAAACTCTCTATTCTCTCATTCTCGATGTTCGATGGGAAGGTAATTCGATACGACCGGAGAGAGATAAGGCGCAGGACCAACGGCTTTATGTGTTTTCCGAGTCACGAACACCGCCAACTTCCTGACTCCGGCTGTTACTGATAATTTCTTGACAGAAAAACTCAATAACTGATTTTTGTTCGACCTGGGATTCAACCACAGCAGCAACCGAAAAACATAAACATGAATATATACGTGTATCATAGTAGCGGTGTATAAATATCCACTACTCCATATCGTCCCGTGGGTGTCGGAATAGGCGATAAAGTTAAATAAAGCAGATGGGTACCAGTGTCTTTCTATCAACAACTAAAAAGTAAAAAAATGCGGTTGCCTACTCGCCTGCCAAGCGTGGTAACTATAGCAAATATCCCCTCTATTAGGGGATATATTCCTTATAGAGGGGATATTTGCTATAGTTGCCACGAGGTATATGTTTAGCAGTAGATTTTTATAAGCTGTAATGTTAATGGTTAATTATACTCGAACCGCCTTATGTTTGTTAGCCGTGGTTTAGTTCACATCAAGTTTACACGAGTCTTCTTTATTGATTTTTTATAAAAAGTTACCTCCACACTAGGATTAGGTAAGTTTATGTAATTTTTTTTATAGTATAGGGTGACAAACGAGCACACAGTCCACCTGATGGTAAGTGGTTACTGTGACCCATAGACATCTACATCTATCATCAATAAAGACTCAAGATGCAGATGCGTTGTCACCCGTGAGGACTAAGATGGAATGCCTCTTTGCCAGTAAAAAGGGTCTTCGGTTCTTTACACTCACCATACGAAACACAGCAGCGTTAAGCTGATTTTCTGTGAGAGCGTGGTCCTTCCCCGGTCGAGCCGACCCATTCGTGCTACAACTATACTACTAATATAGCTGCAGCATGGCTCTACCACGTTAAAATTTCACAAGGACAAACATCCACACCTGGAACAATTATTTGTAGGCTATACAAATGCTTGTTCCGTGCGGGATCCCAACCCGCGGCTCTTAACGTTGCAACTCGTTGCTAAGCCACTGCGCAATAGAGCCGTCAAACGATCACAGTTTAAACTTGAAACTAATTATAAACTATTTTTATAACATTGATATGTTACTGTAAAAGCTCGAACTACGGTAGATCCTAAGATTTTCCAGTAAAACATAGGATTTACCAAGTCTTAGTAGTAAAATAACTGTTGTCTGGTAATCATTAATTTCGGACTTACACTACCATAAAGTTATTAAATCTTAGATTTTACCTCAAAGACACGTACAATGTTGAAAAATAGTCATATCTAAAAGTGTTTGGCGCATTATCGTGCTCGCAGACAGTTTGCAGTGTCACCTCTCGACACAATCGGCCGATTGGTACGTACATTTTTGTTATCTAGAAGTATTTATAAGACTAAATTGGTACGAAAGAAAGATTTTATGGAATACTGGACGAACTCGTAACAAGTAATAAAGGCAATAACTTTTATCTCGATAGGGATAAATGCGTAGTGTTTAGAGAAATTAAAGGTTGTAATGGTCAGAGGGCTTAACATTCATCCAATCAGCGAAAAATAGAGCATATCATGAGAGAGTCAAAAAACCTCGTACGAAGTAATGTTTGGTTTTCCAATGAAAATGGACATCGCAACTTCAGCGATCTTTAGAGATATGATTGGAGTTATAAGATCTAAACAAGATTCGCAGATAAATGTGATACAATATATCACTGCCGAAAATGTCATAATTGAACATGACAAAGAAGATATTAATGTTAACAAATAGTCACAAAATGCACTTTCCAATAACGCTGTCAAGAATAAATCACAAGAAGAAATTATTACGGAGAAGGTGAAGGCTAAGAAAAAACCCGATGTAAAAAAAAAGTAACAACTGATGATAATGTCACTAGAAAATGCGATACTGATTAGGAGAAAGAAATTACGAGACAATTGCAGGACGTTCTTGTAATAATCTCATAAGAAAAATTAATGAATAGTAAGCTTAGCCAAGGTAGGTATTATGTTTGTGAGAAGAAAACAAATATATTTTTCTGTATTATACGTTAAAAACTCATCATAAAAATATTTTAAAATTTATTGGGTAACATGATTCGATGTTTAATAAATACTTTCTACTTATATTGCATATTTTTATTTCCAAAACCGACATTTACTAATAGTCATTGGTAAAACCTAGCATGTATCAAACTCTAATGGTAAAAGCCCGAAAAATCGTCTCATTTTATTCCGAACCGTGCATGTATCAGCTCATGTTGATAAATCCTAAGATTTAAAAGAAAATCCCAAGATTTACCCAAATACGAGCTTTTACAGTAACAGATACATAACATGAAATGCAGGAAATAATGAAAAATTAAAAAAAATATATCGATATATGGGTGTCGACTATGGGATATGCCGAACAGATTTATGGTTTGCGATAATATGTATACATAGTATCGCATGTACCATACATACTAAAAAAGCAAATAAATAAATAAATAAAAATGGCAATATATCCCTCTTGTTTACGCCAGGCGTACCATCCCAGACCGATGAAAGGACATGAAGAAGTGTTAAAGGTGCGAAATTTGTTTATTCAAAATAAATTATGAACAATACTTAGATCCTGGGAACAACCAGCAAAAACGAAGGAAATAAATCGTTTACCATAAAAAATTGAAATATTTTGTTGGCGATCACCTCATTCCCAGGAATTATTTTCATGCTTACCTACAGCTGATAATTTTATATAGGATAAGGACACTGGACTTTTTATATATATATATATTATTATTTTTTAAATTTTATGTGGTTTTATTACCTCTTACTGACACTAGCCGATGCTAAAGCTAAGTAAAGCGGGGTCTTTGACAATCTTCTTAGTCCACAGACAATGCAGAGGTAATAAAACACATACAATTTTCATACATTTTTTAAATAAAATTAAAAAAAAATATTGTTCGAGTTTTAAAAAAAAGTTATTTCTATACGTTTGAATAATGATCCTGATAACGTACTTAACGGAAACCACAAGGTTTTTGTTACATATTGTATATGTATATAAATGTCAGTGGATAGTCCGCTTGATGGTAAATAGTTGCTGTGGGTCATAGACATCTACATTTTTATCCTCGACTACGAATCAAAATGTAGATGCGTTGTCACCCGTGAGGACTAAGATGGAATGCCTCATTTCCAGTAAAAAGAGGCTCCGGTCGGCTCTACACTCACCATACGAAACAGCATTGTTAATCTGCTATTTTACGTTGGTATTCTGTGATAGCGTGGTCCTTTCCCGGCCGAGCCAAACCATTCGTGCTGCAACCACAATATAGCTACAGCTCTGCCACGTAAAAAACGGAAATGATAAAGTAGAAGAATGTCAGCCTACATACGTTCAACGGCTCGGCACTGGTCTCCCCTTATTCCTAAGAGGGTTTCAAGAAAGAGCAGAGTTTGCCTCGCCACCAGAATGCGTATTGGCGGACGTCACATGTAATCGAAATATTCTAGTTTTATTGTCTTTGATTGACTTCTCGTGGTGTTTTCCTTCGCTGTCGGGCACATGTTATTTTATCACAATTAGTAATTAAAATGTAAAAAAAAGCCTGTGGGAATCGAACTCAGGTTCGATATCGTTACTCGTGTACAATGAATCATAAAGCCAGTCTCTAAGATTGTCACAAATATACTTAAAATGTCAAAATTTTATTATTCTTTACATATTTAAAGATAGAAGCTAAAAGGATTATTAACATTAACTTTTAATAAAAAGTAAAAGCTGGTCTCAAACAACTAAAAAGAAAGAAATAATTTCGTATTGTATGTTATTTTTTGTCCTTTTGAGTGAATTAAAGAATATCACAATTTCATTGTTGTCTGAATAGTTCCATTAAAAATGTCATCCCCTATTTTGCTACCCTTAGAACAACCCCTGAAGTATAACATATGTAATAAAAAATCATCAAAATCGGATTACAATTAATACATTGTTCTTTGAAGATATCGGTGGAATTGTTAACGTCCTTCCATTCCAAAAATACGTTTACAATTTGGCCAAAACTAGGCGAATAATCTCCTTTAATTCTCCTAATAATAACATTAGAAATATAGTTTTCTTGTTATTGTCACAAAAGTGCCATAAGCCATTATTTTTAAGGTGGTATTAGACGGTTCAATATTAGTTCCAAGATTATAATAATAATGTCCTCTAGACCAAATTTCGGTCACATCGGCCATTCTCAACCGTAATTAACCATCCGCACAGGACAGAATTATTAGTGCACGAGTGTGTTCACAAGCACAGCTGCACACTTTGAAAATAAAGGCAAAAATATACCGTGTATTAGGCGTTATAGAGCCACACCGCAGCTTTATTATGGTTTTAGCATAAATGGGTCGATTTGAGCGGGGAAGGACCACGCTCTCACAGAATACCAGCGTAAAACGGCAGCTTACTGCTGTGTTTCGTATGGTAATTG